ATTCTGCTTGAGCAAGCTCTCGGTTCCGGCAGTGGGGTCGGTGAAGGCCGTGAACATGACCTCGAGGTCGTACCCTGAGCGCAGGTATTTTCGCCGTTGCGGATTATCAAAGAGATACAGGAACGTGTTGGCGATCGTGTCGGGGGACTTGTAGCTGCCCTCGTTGAGCGCCTCAGACAGTGGAGGCAGCGCTCCAGACGCAATGGCCAGCGGTGGGCAGCGGAGAAGGATTTCGGCAAGCGTCTCGACGCACATGGACTGCAGTCTGTCGTCCTCTTGCGCAGCGACAGCGGCTATAGCGCGCACTACCGCTCGGGAGATCTCGTTGACACCACCCTTGACGTCGAGGAAGGCGCGCACGAATTTAAGGGCTTGCTCTCGCTCCAGATCAGCCTTTCGGTCCTTGATGAGAGAGCTGTGGCCTGTCAGTTTGGGGTGGATTCCAAGCGAGTCTGAGCACACTTACGTGATTACCAGATAATCAGTATTCAAGTTTCTGATCTTCTTCAGCGACGAGATATCTGAAATGGCATAGCGAACCATGCGGTAGCCCGCCGCCACAACCTCTCTGGCATCGCTCAACAGCATGACCTGCATGCGCAGTCCAAAGACGGGCCAGACGAGGTCATACTTGAGACTGGGATGACGTCGGAGGAGGTCGACGAGGGCGTTTCCACGGCTGACATAATACTCGGGTCCCATGCCCTCGACTTCCAGATCTTGCAGAATCTCAGTGAGAGAAAAGGTTGGAGACTGTTCGACAGGCTCGTCAAAGTCCGACCCAGCGCCGCTCCGCGGACACGCTATGGAGGCGAGCGCAAGCCATTGGCCGGCCGGATGTGAACCGGGCTCTGCCGTCCTGGACCTCGTGGGCGTGGAAGGCGGTAGCTTGACGGCCTGCGCCTCCGCTATCCTCTGCCTCAGCTCTCTGATCTTGTTGTTGGAAGCGTTGAGCTCGTTCTCGACGCGGGCCCGCTGCTCCTTGGTCTGCTTGGCCTTTTTGCTGTTGAGGGCATCCAGCATGTTCTCGCTGCCTTCCTTGATCTTCAGTTCGCGATTGAGCTGCTCCCGCAGGGCGTTCAGCTTCTGCTCGGCCATGGTGGCCTCGTTCTCCTCGATCTTTTCATTGTTGAACAGGTCGGCACGGGACCCCGCCCGGGACGAGTTCATCTGGCTGCGCAGTTCGGAGCTGAAGCTGCCTGGGGCGACGGAGGGGTTCAGAGAGGAGCCGCGGGGCGCAAAGTTGGCGGCGGAAGCGGCGAGGCTCCTGGCGCTGCTGCTCGCGGGCCCGCTCGGGGGGTAGAGGTTGACGGTAGAGGGGCCATCGCGGTCGATGCTCGTGCGCGTGTTGTTGACGGCCGAAGGCTGCTGCTGGGAGGGGTGCGCCTTGTCCCTGGCCGTCTGGGATACGCCCAGCATGGCGGTCGAACCGTCTATGGGCTCGGCAGCTTCTGGCGCGCACCCTCGCTACGTAGCATCCGGGCTGGTCTGGCGGAGGATGTCGGGAGGGTCTGGAGACAATAGCGTCGTGTGGTGCTGTCGATCGGGGATAGGTGGGATTGGAGTCGGAGACGCACGTGTAGGGACTCGGGGTGGGCCAGATACAACTGTTTGCGTTCTGCAGAAAACGATGTCGGCTCGGCCGTCGAGAGTGAAGGCGAGGGGTGCAGAGGTTGGTGCAGCTGATGGAGTGGAGAACTCGATGGTTGTTCGCTGATCGCACACGAACGAATATAGGGCGGTGGTGGTGGTGGTGGCGTAGATAGATACTCGAGTGACGGAGCAGACGACTATGGAAACGAAGAAACGCTAGGTCAAAATTCGACGAAGAGGCGGCGTGTGGAGTTTGCGCCCGTCAAGCCAAGATTGTGTATGTCTACCTCACCCAAGACAAGCAGAAGAGGGGGGATGCGGTTCGAGATGGCGGTAGCTGGTGCGGCCGCTCGCTTGCGTAAGTGCGTAAGGTACCTTTGGCGTCGTGGTGTTTGTTGGATGAGGTACCTTAGGTGAGGTAGGTGGGAGGCACGGTGCCTAGCGCCCATGTTCACTGTCCAGTACATGTACCATGTATGCACCTGCTGCGACCGCGGCCGCGAGACCAAATGGGCTGGGGGGCTGCACTGGGGGAGGAGCAACGCCTGCCACGTTTGGGCAAGGATGGCAGCCGCTTTACCTGTCTGGCAGACGCTTTGCCTGTCTGAGCGAGCGAGTGTCCCCCCCACTTCCACCTGGTTTGGGTGTGTGAAGCGCTGAAGTTCAGCACTGGACTGGCAGGAGGTGCACTAGTTCTCGGCAGAGATAAGGTTGAGATAAACAGGGCGATAGCGATAACGAACCCCAGCACGTCTGCCTCAGTTCCGTCTGTCAGAAGACTCATGGCGGGCGCCCCCTTCTGAGCCTCCATGCATCACGAATGAGATGGATCGGTGACAGTGTGGCGCTCGCTCTGCTATCAGGTTGACGATCGATTGCTTCGCATCCTGATCTGGCGACAGTCCTGGCGTTAAGCCTGGTTGCGGAGAGGGATACGTCGAGACCGGCCGGATGGAATGTGAAGCATGTGTGGACCAGCAGCATTTCGCTTTCTACCAGGTCAAACCAACCAAGGTGACTTATTTTGAGACTTTCTGCCTCTCGAATCGTGACAACTCTTTTTGTTCACGAAAGCATCCTCTTCACCTCATCCTGGCGACGTCGAGAAGTCTGACACCAGGCGGCTCAGACGACAACATCAAGACGGAACCACCATCCTCGGACGGCGCCGAGTCCCAGGGCTCCGATCCATAAGGCCCCGATACTCATAAAACTCTTGTCATGTTGGTCGAGCCAGACGGAGTTGCAGCAGGCAGAAAATCGTCAGATGGTAGTGCCCCTCCTTCGGCCTTCGCTTGTAGAGCTCCAGAGGCCGAAGCATTCCAATGGTCCTCGAGGCCACAAGACCCTCACATGCAGGCGACATGGCCGTCCTCCGCGAGATGCAGCCCTTTTCACCAGTGGCTGACGGCCCCTGGTCCCCTGAGGCCCAGTCGGGATGCACGCGATGCAATGGCGGGGCTCTGCGCGCGCCCCTCCATCCTGGAGCTTCGTCCAGAGGCTTGAGAGGGTATCGGCGGGCTCCGGCGCGCGACACTAAGGTGAGACCACCGACACCCCGACAAGACCCCTCCATCATGGGCCTCGGAGTGATGGCTTCGTGGGGGACCGGGACCAGACAGATGGCGCGGGATATAAAAGATAGATGCACTGCTTTTTTTTTCTCTCCCCTCTCGTCTGGTGTGCTGGATCTTGGACCTCTGACCTCTGACCTCTGACCTCTGCCGCCTCTTGCCGTGCTGTTCTTATCATCGTGCATTGCATTGCCTCTAGCTCGCGTCTTACTCCGAATCCCTTCTCCAACTCGTGCCTCGCCCTGGCCTCTTCCCCACGACGACTGCCCCTCATTGCTTATCACCCCGCCGCTACCTTACGACCACCTGCTAGACCTCGGTGCCTCTGCGACTACAACTAGAGCCAGTCGCCCCTCCTTCTCGACCGTCTTCCCTCCCTTAGGTACCTAACCTACTACTATTTCTCCTATTCCGACCTTCACCAAGCCTATTCATCATGCCTGTCCTCGCTTCTGCCCGCTACGGCAAGGACAATGTTCGCGTCTTCAAGGTCCAAAAGGACGGCCCCGTCCAGACTGTCACCGAGATGACCGTCTGCGCTCTCCTCGAGGGTGCCATTGAGACGTCGTACACCGTCGCCGACAACTCGGTCGTCGTGGCCACCGACTCGATCAAGAACACCATTTACATCAAGGCCAAGGAGCACCCCGTCAACCCGCCCGAGCTCTACGCCTCCATCCTCGGCACCCACTTCCTCGACACGTACGCCCACATCTCGGTCGCCAACATCCGCGTCACCGTCCACCGCTGGACGCGCCTCGACGTCGACGGCAAGCCGCACCCGCACGCCTTCCTGCGCGACGGCGAGGAGACGCGCACCGTCGAGGCCCGCGTCACCCGCGACGGCGTCGCCCTGACGAGCGGCATCCAGAAGCTCACCGTCCTCAAGTCCACCGGCTCGGCCTTCCACGGCTTCGTCCGCGACGCGTACACCACCCTGCCCGAGACCTGGGACCGCATCCTCTCCACCGACGTCGACGCCTCCTGGACCTGGGCCTTCCCCGACGGCCTCGCCGCCGTCGAGAAGGACGTCGCCCGCTTCGACGCCGCCTGGGAAGCCGCCCGCGCCATCACCCTCAAGACCTTCGCCGAGGACGAGAGCGCCAGCGTCCAGAACACCATGTACAAGATGTGCGAGCAGATCCTCGACGCCGCCCCCGAGACCAAGACCGTCTCCTACGCCCTGCCCAACAAGCACTACTTTGAGATTGACCTCAGCTGGCACAAGGGTCTCAAGAACACGGGCGCCGATGCCGAGGTCTACGCCCCGCAGTCTGGTCCCAACGGCCTCATCAAGTGCGAGGTCGCTCGTTCGTAGCGTGGACAATATTTGCCTGGTGTGAATTTACTTCTTGTTCTGTTTTTTTGGGATTAGAGAGATATACCTTGGGTCCTGTGCATTTCCTGGCGTCTTTTGGAATATGTAGCCGTGGCAGATCTGCCATCGGCGTAGACGAATAAATAAATCAACAAATAGCCTTGATCATGTGATTGACCATGTGATTCGATCGATGTGAGCTTGATTTCATGTAAAGATCCTGTTGCACACGGCTTGCACAAGATATGACCAGAACAGACTCCAGGGCCAGCCAGAACGTCTGCCCACAACGTGACAAGCCTGGGTTCAGTCGAACTCGGAACACCAACGAGTCAATTTCGTGAAAGCAAAATACGTGGATATTTGCGATACAACTCATAACATGGACCTCTCGCCATGCTTGGTATGATGATACAGAGTATACACGCCAATGCCTCGAACCACCTCCCCAAAAGACCCTCAAGGCAATCGACGATTCGTCCTCGTCCCGCCCCTCCACAGACCAAAACACAGCCCTACACCCTCTTCAGCCCATCGTCGCGAATCGCCCTGGCAGCCTCCTCCCAGCCCGTCTCCCCAACCTTGACATCGCCGAACCGAATGACATTCTGCTTGTACGGGTGCGCGTCGCCCTCAAAGGCCTTGAGCCGCGCCAGCCTCTTGTCCCTGAGCCTGTTCTTCGGCAGCATGCCGCTGACGGCCTTGCGCAGCACCTCGGCGCCGCCGTGCTTGGCCATGAGCACGTCCATCGTGACGCTGCGCAGCGAGCCCGGCCGCGTCGTGTGGCGGTAGTATGTCTTCTGCCACATCTTGCGGCCCGTCACGTGCAGCGCCGCGCAGTTGGTGACGACGACGTAGTCGCCGCAGTCGGTCGACGGGTCCCATGTCGGCTTGTTCTTGCCCATGAGGAGCACGGCGATGCGGGAGGCGAGGCGCCCGAGGGAGGGGGGCGTGACGGAGGGCTGCGTCGATAGGGATGGGTGCGGCGTCGAGGCGGAGATTTGGTGCCAGACGCGGGAGTAGGAGAGCCGCGTCTACGTTTGAGAAGGTTAGCAACTGGGCCATCGTGAAGGAGGGTTGTTGAGTTCAAGGGGGGGGGGGACAGATCGTACGAGGCCAATGGTTTGCGACATGGTGGGCTACCGGAAGGGCCGAACCCTCATGAACCGTACGGTAGGTAGTTGGCGTGAAGCGTGCGCTTAAACGTCGTTGGCAGGACTCCGTCGCAGGTCGTCGTTGAGCTTGTGGGCGTGTATGGTCGTGAGGCCATCCCGAAAGTTTGGTGCCAAGCTCATGCGATGGAGATCTTCGTTGATGACTCAGCAAACATCGGTCACGTGGCTGACGTGCACCAATACTTCGGACACCAACCGGTGACAGCTGCGGAGACCGAAGGCCGGAGCCGTGGACCATCAGGCGATTTCAAAGCAACTCCGGCATCATGATGAAAAGGACTCATGCGTTCACTAGATGTACTCTACCTGCGAATCTTCTCATACAGTAACTAGGTTATGGTCTATTGCCTTTCTGATTTTTTAAACAACTATCGATCTCTGCTCCAAAGCACAAAGACTAGCCATCTCAAAATGACGGCAGTTCACCCATTTCAGGTGAGCCACATTACATCACTGTCATGTCCAACAAGCCATTTGGTCAACCTTGGAACACGGAAAAAATCCAGAGCAACGTCCATGACAGTCCACAACAGCAAACTCGCTTGGCTGAGCGTTGACTGATAGCAAGATGCCTAGACACTCTTCGCTGTCCACATGACATGTGACAGCTGCGTCCAGGCCGTTTCAGATTCCCTCTACCAGCTGAAGGGCATCACCAAGGTCGACGCCAATCTCAAAGACCAGCTCGTATCGGTAGAAGGCACAGGTATGTCGGCTTGCCTCAGGAGAACCTTATCGGTGGCTTCTCAGCCTACGATCTCCGTCGCTGACCCCGATGCGCAAACGCCCAGCCGCCCCCTCGGCCATCGTAGACGCGATCCAGGCGACGGGGAGGGACGCCATCCTTCGAGGATCAGGCGCATCAAACAGTAGGTGCAGACTCGCCTGTTTACCCTCCCGAGACTGATGCAACCATTTCTCTTGCCCTCTTTTGCGCCGGCATCGTTCATTCACTGCCTCGACGATCTTGAGTTCTCGCCCCCCCCCCCCACCCCCCCTTCAACGACGATGCCGCGTCCCCTTCCTGTGCACGTTCCCTCTGGGATTAAGGTCACGCGCAGACTGACAACT